ACATTCAACAAAACAAAGAGGCAGCCCACGGAATGGGAGAAGATATTCGCAAATGACACTACAGACAAAGGGCTGATATCCAAGATCTATAAAGAATTCCTCAAACTCAACACTCAAAAAAAACAGATAATCATGTAAAAAAAATGGGCAGAAGGCATGAACAGACACTTCTCCAATGAAGACACACAAATGGCCAGCAGACACATGAAAAAATGTTCATCATTATTAGCCATCAGGAGAGTGCAAATCAAAACCACATTGAGATACCACCTTACACCAGTTAGAATGGCCAAAATTAACAAGACAGGAAGCAACAAATTTTGGAGGGGATGTGGAGAAAGATGAACCTTCTTACACTGTTGGTGGGAATGCAATTTGGTACAGTCACTTTGGAAAACAGTGTGGAGATTCCTCAAAAAATTAACAGTAGAGCTACCTTATGACCCTGCAATTGCACTACTGAGTATTTACCCCAAAGATACAGATGTAGTGAAAAGAAGGGCCATATGTACCCCAGTGTTCATAGCAACAATAGCCACAATCGCCAACTGCAGAAAAAGCCAAGATGCCCTTCAAAAGACGAATGGATAAAGAAGATATGGTCCATATATACAATGGAATATTATGCCTCACCAGAAAGTATGAATACCCAACTTTTGTATCAACATGGATGGGACTGGAGGAGATTATCCTGAGTGAAGAAGGTCAAGCAGGGAAAGTCAATTATCATATGGTTTCACTTACTTGTGGAACATAAGGAATAACATGAAGGACACTAGAAGAAGGAATGGAAAAGTGAACTGGGGAAAATTGGAGGAAGAGATGAACCATGAGACACTGTGGACGTTGAGAAACAAACTGAGGGTTTTAGAGGGGAGGACGGGTGAGCCTGGTGGTGGGTATTATGGGGGGCACGTACTGCATGGAGCACTGGGTGTGATGCATAAACAATGAATCTTGGAACACTGAAAAAATAAAACTAAAAAAAAAAATACAACACAATGCTGTGTTATCTCATACTCATTAGGATGGGTATTATCACAAAAACAAGCAACAATTAATAATGAAGGTGTGGAAGAAAGGGAATTCTTTCACACAGCTGTTGCATATGCAAAACTGTGCAACCACTATGGAAAACAGTATTAAGGTTCCTCAAAAAATTCAAAACAGGGTACCTGGGTGGTTCAGTTGGTTAAACGTCTGCTTTGGCTCAGGTCATGATCCCAGGGTCCTGGAATCAAGTCCCACATCAAGCTCCCTGTTCAGTGGGGAGTCTGCTTCTCCCTCTATCCTTCCCACCCTGCTGTGATCTCTTTCTTTCTCTCTCACTCAAATAAATAAAAATCTTTTTTAAAAAATTTCTGTAAGAAAAATTAAATAGAACTATCCTATAATCCAGGAATCTCATTTCCTAGGTATTTAATTCATTCCTATGTATTTAATTTTAAGAAATGAAAATAGAATCTTGAAGAGATTAGCATTCTTATGTTTACTGTAGCACTATTCGTGTATCCAAGGTGCGGAAATAACCTAAGTCACACTCAGTGAATAAATGGATTAAAAATGTGTCATACACATACAATGGCCTATCATTAGCCTTAAAAAAGAGCTAAATCCTGTAATATGGAACTATATGAATGAGGCATTATGTTAAGTGAAATAAACTAGTTATAGGACAAATACTGCATGATTCCACTTTATGAGGTATCTAGAATAACCAAACTCACAGAAGCACAGAATAGAATAGTGATAGCCAGGGCTGGGTGGAGAGGAAGAAATGGGAAGTTGCTGCTAATCAATGCATATACAATTTCAGTTATGCAGTATCAGTAAACTCTAGAAGTCAGTTACGCAACACTGTGCTTGTAGATAACAATACTGTACTCTACCTGCACTGACAAGTCCGTGAGGAGCAGATGTCTCAAGTTAAGTGTTCTTACTACACACACACAGATGCACTTAAAAATTTTTAAGACACATTACATAAAAATAAAAAGAATGTTTAACAATTATGGACATCATAAATTGATCAAAATATTTAAGTAATAATTTGCAGAACTAAAAGTAGACATCAACAGATCATTGGTGAAGTCGAAAATTTTAAGACACTCCTCCTCTAGTAGGTGAAATAAACAAAAATAGTAGATATATAAAAAATTTAATAGCAAAATTAACATATTTTGCCTAATTAACACATGTAGGGCTATATACCTAAAACTACAAAATAGTCAATCTTTTAAAATGCAACAAAAATAGAAAATTGAATGTACTCTGTTATCTAATTGCTTTCTATATATGGAAACAAATCTAATGAAACATCTGTAAGATTTCTAAAAATCTATGTAACATTATTGAAAGAAATTAAGCAAGAACTAAATAAATAGATATATATCATTTTAATGGCCAGAAGACACACAATTTTAAAGATCTAAAAAAAACTCAAAAAGATTTTTTTTACTGAAATGATACTTTTCTTCAAAATGAAAAGGAAAAGAATATGTATGGAACCTCCTGAGATTTCATCTAAATTTGGGGGGTGGAGGAGAAACAAGTCTAGAACACAGGTTTTAAGAGGCATCAGGAGAAAAAAATGCAATTGCTTTCTGCTTGTCTCCTATTGAACACAGCTCATTTAATAGAATAGTTGCAGTTTGTTAAAAGGAAGTTCATAAATTCACCTTGAGAAGAAAATTAATCTTGACGCTAATCATGAAAAATGTGTCATATAGGTACTTAGAAAGCAATTAGATAACACAGTGTACTCAATTAATTATAGTTTTATAGTTTCACAAAAAAGTACAGAAATATTCTTCAAATGCATATTTATTTTATTAATGCTGCATGAAAGCTGAAGGCATTTTAGCAAGGAAGTAAGGTAATTTAGTCAAGTGTATAACTTTCAATAGAGAAGAGTTCAAAGGCCTTAGAGCTGCAACAAAAAATAAATTGGAAAATGCTGGAGCTTTGCGATTGGACAGAACTTGATTTTAATTTAATCTTTGAGTCTTTGTGTCTTTATCTGTAATATCCATCTGAATGGACTCCTTGAGGATTAAATGAAACAAACTCTAATACTCAAGTATAGCATATGTTAGTTTCCTTTTCTTTCCTCTCATAGACCAATATTGTTACGATATCTAAGTCTAGACCACTGCCCTTAAGAATCACAAATAAGCTCTGGTTAAGAGAAACATTCATGGGTGAAAATTCTGCTCAGTTGCTGAAATGTTACTTGAATTGCTGGTTGAAAAGAGAGCCCTCTCATTTAGATACAAGTAACAGAGTCAAATTCTGCTGTGAAACTGTAGAAAATGGACTTTTCTTCTTCCCTCCAGATGAAGGTTTCAACATGCTCTTGCAAATATTAGCCTCAAGGTGAGTAGGTCTGAGGGTGAGTGAATTTTTTTTTCCCCAGAAAACAGAAAAGAGTTTTCAATCAGTTCAGGTCTTGGACCAATTTTGTTCCTGAAATCAGAGATGAGGGCATTGTGCATTGAAAACATAAAATTGAAACTGAACATAACACTCTTCTGTATGCTAATTTTTGATTCCCTGTTACTTATACATAGAATTTAACAGAGATGGACCGTGAAGACATTATGCTAAGTGAGGTAAGTCAGAGAAAGACAAATACTATGGTATCACTTACATGTGGAATCTTAAAAAGCCTAACTTGTAGAAACGAAGAGTAAAATTGTGGTTATGAGGGGCTGAGGGGTGAGGGAATACAACAGACATTGGACAGAGGGTCCAATTTGCAACTAGAAGATGGATAAGTTCTAGATATCTAACACAGAGCACAGTGGTTATATTCAATGCTGTATTATACACTTCAAAGTTACTTAGAGACTAATTTTAAATGCGCTCACCACAAAAAAGATATAAGAGTTATGTGACCTGATATATTTAACACTAAGGTGGTAATCATATTGAAATATAATAATGTATCAAATCAACATATTGCATACCTTAAACGTACAAAATGTTGTCAATTACATCTCAATAATTAAAGAAAAAAAACAAAAAAGAAAACTAAAAGCCTAGCACATCTTTTGAATGGAGAGAAAATCATTAAAGCAATATCAAAATTACCCAAACAGCTACTTAAACTGTCTCATTAGAACTAGTGGATTAATAAATGTGCTTGCAAGGAAGTGACGCACATTAGAAATCTATGCTGGCATGAGCAAATAATGGAAACCACAGACTTTCCGTGTTACAACATGGAAGGGCCAACTATAAGGAAGTAAAGCAGAGAGAATACTTTAAACATGCAGCACCAATTAAGTTGAGTTTATAGTTTAATTTTTGTAACTAACCAGCAGCACAAGCCTTTCTTGGCACAATTTCTCACTGCCAATAGAGAACATTATTATTATCAGTGTTGGTTAGTTAGGTGGAAAGGAGTTCTAACATAAAATTGGATATCATGAAATTTCATCAAAATTTTACTACTTTCCTAGCTCAGTTTCTTGCCATTAGCTACTTAGTTGTTTTGGGGAAACAAGATATGGCCTCAAATTCACCCAAGTAAAGTCATGATTGAAGCTCTGAGAAATGGTGTCCATAAAGACCCTATTCTTCAGACAAAAGAACCAACAGTTAGCTAGATTAGAAGCAGATACCCTTTACCATGAAGAGCAGGCTTCGCCCTTACCATGTTGTGTAACTTGACATCCAAAATGATTCCTAAGATAAAAGGAAGATCTACAGGCAAATATATAGAGATAATCTCAAATACACACAAGAAAAACTTTGAATTAAAGTAACAGGAAAAAGTCTTTTGCAGGTTGATCATTAAGATCTGCCTAGATAAACCAATACATTAATAGAATGTAGATTTATATAATTTTTTAAAAAATCATACACATATACAAACTTTATAATTATTCCACATTTTGAAAATCTATTAGGGCAGAAACATAATGACATTATAAAACTTCTAAAAAACAACAAAGTACATCTTTCATTCAACTTAAATTAGCTTAAAATCATCTTACCTGTGTAAAAAGTATAAACTGAGCAAACTGCCAGGGAAGCATAAAAGCAACATTGGAAAAACAGAGTGCAATAAAATGCCTTCTATTATTGTTCGAGGTCCTTAATAGAGAGAATTGATACCGGTAAGTTTTACCATAAAAGTAGTCTATCACTAAACAGAAAAACTAACTGAAAAATGATGAAATCTAATGACCACTTACCTTTGATGTAAGATAACAAAATGCAGTTGAATCTAAAGCCCATTAAAAAGAACTGAATAGGGGCACCTGGGTGGCTCAGTTGTTAAGCATCTGCCTTCGGCTCAGGTCATGTTCCCAGGGTCCTGGGATCGAGCCCCACACTGGGCTCCCTGCTCAGCAGAGAGCCTTTTTCTTTCTCTCCTTCTGCCTGCCCCTCCCCACTACTCATGCTCGCTCTCTCTCCCAAATAAATAAAATCTTTAAAAAAAAAAAAGAACGGAATATAACTGGGTTACAAAAAACTTAGCGTAAAACAATCTTACTTAGAGCTTTAAATATTGTAACTAGTTTATCAGTAAATAAGATACCTTAAACATTAGAGTTTCTTCTCCTTTCACTAATGCATGATATTACAAATTTAATACTCCAGCAATGTGGTCAGAAAATAGTGTGAACTGACCCTGCATATCTCAAAATATGTAGCCTATACAAGCAGCAAGTTTTACATACCACTGCTTTTAGATTTCAAAAAGCAATGAAGAAAATTCTAGGTGTTGGTGCCATATTAAGTTAACAACTATGAGAATGTTTTAAAGGAAAAAATTAAAATAATGACTGAAAAAGAATTCTAGAATGCAGTTACAAACTACTGCATATTGAAGTTTAAACTGTCCAGTCTGGGGTGCCTGGGTGGCTCAGTGGGTTAAAGCCTCTGTCTTTGGCTCAGGTCATGATCCCAGGGTCCTGGGATCAAGCCCTGCATCAGGCTCTCTGCTCAGCAAGAGAGCCTATTTCCTTCCTCTTCCTCTGCCTGCCTCTCTGCCTACTTGTGATCTCTGTCAAATAAACAAATAAAATCTTTAAAAAAATAAAGAATAAAAAAATAAACTGTCCAGTCTGCAATGGAAAGATGTATCAATTAACCAATACCTTTTACCACAGATAGTTTTAGTGTCTTTTAGAATATGAAAAAAGAAATGTAAACATTTTGTGTAAATAATAAAACTGTAGCTGTTCTTTTTTATAAAAGGTGTATTCGATTTTTGATAAATCCTTATAATATGATATATAAATTTTCAAATGAAAAAACTTAAATATTCATATTGTTTAGGGATATTATCACAAAATATATTAAGTTCTCTGTTATCTTTTATTTACCAAACAAAGTGACTTTTGGTTAATCTACAGAGTATATAGCTTATGTACTCAAGGCTACAATCCTAAATGTTGTAGTTAACACATTTCATTCCATGAAACCCCAACTGGTCAGACTAAAATCACTTCCTAAAATTAGAAAATAAACCATCTTTCCAGGAATTTAGATCACCTAAAACGTGTAGTCTAGACTCAGTGGAAAGAAATTTTTTACATAGTAAATTTAGATTATTTTCTCAACTGGATACTCTATTTTAAAGTAACTAAAAGGGAAAACTAAATTTAATAATTATAACTTAATAGGTTGAAGTATATTTTAAGAAACTTAACTTATAATTTATTTAGATTTATTTTATAAATAAAATTACCTGAGAATCAAAGTTAAAATGCACATCTGAAGTACAAGAAATGGATATGAAAAACTTTCCCGGAGAGGTGGTGTCCACATTACGCGGGTAGCCTGAAATCAATAAAATATTTACTTCATTTTATGTTCCATTGCAATAAATATTAATCTAAAAGTTATGAGTAGGCTGTTCAAATAATTTTAAAACTAGGCTCATTAATTTCTGAGTGCCTGGGATAGCTTCTCCGTTTCTGGAACTCTCTTAATGGGCATATAGGCATTAGGTAGAGAGCCATTAACTAGCAAGACCAGACACAAGAACGCCAGACGTAAGAAAACCTAAAGGACAAAAAAAGGTGGTAGTTACAGGAGCGGTGAGAATTTTGGAAATGAAAAACCAGATGCACATTTCAGCTCTGCAGTGAGGACACTCGCATCCCAGGGCTTTGGCATGTATGTATGCCCAGAAAAAAATCTAACCAGGTATCACTTAGGGCATTCGAAAACACCAAGAGAGTTTATACATAACAAGTTTAATAAGTATAGACACACACTACAAGTAATTAAGATTGTCTCTGAATTTGTGAAATATGCCTTTAAAAGAGTTAACTGTAAATTTCTAAAAACAACTGAAAGTATTTTGAAATCACTGATGTGATACATAAATGAAAGTACTGACACTTTGTATAGACTTTAAAACTAATTATTTCTAAAATGTAAGTGAGAATACTATAAAAGTTTTGTATCAATAATTCTAAAATTCTAGAAAGAGTTAAAACTCTTATAAACTCTTATTACTCCTCTTCCAAGAAACCAAAACTAAATTTTAAAAGATGAATTATGGTATGTATAAGAAAGTTAATTCATCTGGCATACTCAAAGAAAAGATTTTGTCTTTACATGAACATATTGGTGACAATGCATTTGTTTAAGTTTACATATTTATGTACGTATAATTTCTTTGATTCCTTTGCCTAACTGATTTTCTAAAATTCACCAATTATTTACCTTTCCTAGAAGTAATGGATAAAAACTTCAATCCTATGTAACCCATTCCACAACATATTACATATTTTGTTTTCAAAAGCTAGTAGTCATACTCTCTCACTTTTCACTGCCACCTCTCATTCCCGAACAGGATCCGGCACAGGTTAAATATTCAGTATATTGCTGAATGAATCTAACATATTCTAGATAAGTTTCTATGTGTTCTTTGCACGTGAACTATATCCCATTTGACTGGGTTAGTAAATTTCTATTTTGAGTTCATCATGTTGTGTAATTGTAATTGAAAAGGCAGCATGATGTAATAGAAGGAAGCAAGGTTTTAGAGCCAGACAGATGGAGAACTGAAGCTCAGTTTCACTAGATTTTGAATTTGGAATCTTGTATGAGTAACATAACAACTATAAATTTCAGTTTCATATCTTCTACTTGTAAGGATAATAACCACCTTCCATAAAAGTGTGGTAGGAGTAAATGAGATAATGTTTATATAAAGTGCCTGAATTCAACAGGTACAGTATTTCCTTTTCAGCAAAATACAGTATTTGGTTTTTCTACAAAATATAGGTACACTAAAAATCAGGCAAGATATTTCATATCATAAATTCTATTATGTAAAAATGTGGACAAACATGATTAAAATATGACTATTAACATAAAATATTGCTAAGTCCTAAATAACATTCAATTATATATTGTATTGATGAATATATTTCCTTGTTCCTATACAGCCCCTTCTATCTTAAAAAACTGTTTTCTAGAAAACAAACCTCTCCATGGTTGAAAAAGTAGCACAAAACTGTAATTAGACCTCCAAGTTGAGTCCCACTGTTAAAAAAAGAGTATACATTAATAATTAATAAAATATAGTGTTTTACAAAATTACCTTAGAATTTAAAGTCATATTTAAATGCTATAGTACAAAACAATGTAAAATAATGCCAAAATTTTAGAAGTACACATGTAATGTTTTAATCTTGAATGTATAAGTATACAAAGTATACATATAAAATAATCTGAATTTTATAATTTGTTGTATTTAAAAGGGGAACGCTCTTACACTGTTGGTGGGAATGCAAGTTGGTGCAGCCACTTTGAAAAAACAGTGTGGAGATTCCTTAAGAAATTAAAAATAGAGCTACCCTATGACACTCCAACTGCACTACTGGGTATTTACCCCAAAAATACAGATGTAGTGAAAAGAAGGGCCATCTGTACCCCAATGTTCATAGCAGCAATGGCCACAGTCACCAAATGGTGGAAAGAACCAAGATGCCCTTCCACGGACAAATGGATAAAGAAGATATGGTCCATATATACTATGGAGTATTATGTATCCATCAGAAAGGATGAATACCCAACTTTTGTGTCAACATGGATGGGACTAGAGGAGATTATGCTGCGTGAAATAAGTCAAGCAGAGAAAGTCAATTATCATATGGTTTCACTTACTTGTGGAGCATAAGGAGTAACATGGAGGACATGAGGAGAAGGAGAGAAGTGAGTTGGGGGGAATTGGAGGGGGAGATGAACCATGAGAGACTGTGGACTCTGAGAAACAAACTGAGGGTTTTGGAGGGGCGGGGGTGGGGGGATGGGTAAGCCTGGTGGTGGGTATTATGGGGGGCACGTATTGCATGGAGCACTGAGTGTGGTGTATAAACAATGAATCCTGGAACACTGAAAAAAGAAAAGAAATGAAAATGATTTCTTAAAGTTGCCTTTTCTTCAGATATTGTCATCACTGTATCCACAGCTTTACACTTAGAAGATAATAAATACCCCCTGAATGATGGAAGAACAGAAGGAATGAGCTCAAAACAAGCAAAGCTAATGGGAAGTGATTTACCATTAATAGATTTTCACTAAAGGAAATTCAAAGGATGCCTTTGAAAAGGAAGAAATTGCGAGGAGGAAGGTGTTAGAAGCAAAACAACTAACTGCAGCCTATAGAATGTAGGATCATGTGGATATAAATCTAAGCAAGATTTGACAATATAAACAGCAATAATAGTGCCTGCTGTGGAAGGGTAATAGAAGCACTTAACTATGATAATAATTTTAAGATGTGAGGGGCTATTTTGAAGCAAATTGTCCTAAAATTCTTTGTACTGATTAGAAAATCAGTACAAATCAATCAATTTTGGACTTGATTGATAAGTCAGACATGCATGTTACCATTTTATCATTAACCACCAAAAGAATAGAAATGGGAAATTTCTATTCTTCTTTCCAGGTTAGCTCCAACAGGAGAGAGTGGCCAGGGTAAGAAATAAAAATTTACCCCCAATTCCTATTTCTTTTGTTTCTCATATGCCATCACTTTCAATCTCTTCACAGTTTTGGTAACACTTTTATAACCAACATTTGTTCTATCTACATATCCTTCTCAAAGACTGGAGCCCAATAATGTATTGATATTACAGAACTGTGTAGCCAATTTAAAGAAGACCATCACCTCCTGAGGAGCTCTCCCAATGAAAAATATTAGTTAAAAAAAAATTTAGTCTGTGTAACATTTTTGTATTTTAAAAAAGCATAATATGAAATAATTTCAAAAACAGAACATTTTAAAGCCTGCCAACATAATCTAAAAGTAATTCTTTTCCCTCAAAATGCTGATGAGTTTATATTTTCCTATAAGGCATACATAAGAAAGTACATAAAATTTTCTAGTTCCTAGAACAATTATGGAGTGAACATACTTGTAACTAAAAGCATAATTATCATTGGAATCGAAAATTGATCACACCCTGAGTCCCCATGTGACACCCCTTCAGAGAGCCACTATCCTGATTTTTGTGATTATTAACATAACCACATCTATACACATATACATACTATGATTTAATCGTTCTTAAACTTTATACAAATGGAAGATGCATCTTTTAAGTTTTTGCTTACCTTCATCATTCAACACTATATTGTTAAGATTTGTCCATATTGATGTGTGTAGCTATAGCTCACTCATTCTCAATATTGTATAGTATTCCACTGTATTAAGGAACCGTAATGTGTACATTTCTCTGTTGTTAGACATTTGAGTTGTTTCCAGTTTGCAGCTGTTACAAACTATGCTGTTATATTCTTGTACATACTTCCTGGTGTATATGTACAAAGTTTCTTAGGCATATGTATACTTACATATCTATATGTATTAGTATAATTGATACACAATGTTACATTAGTTTCAGGTATGCAACACAACGATTCAACATCTCTATACTTATGCTGTGTTCCCAAGTGTAGGTACCACCTGTCACCACATAATGCTATTACAATGCTATGGACTATATTCCCTATGCTGTACCTTTCCTCCCTGTGAATTATTCATTCCATAACTGGACGCCTGTATCTCTCACTCCCCCTTCCCTATTTTGCTCATCCCCACTCCCTTCCCCAGTGGCAAGCACCAAGTTTGTTTCCTTTCTTTATAAGTCTATAAATTTTAAATAGGAATTGCAGAGTTAGAAGATATCTACACCGTCAACTCTACTAAATTATGCACAGTTTTCCCAAAATAATTGTACTAATTTATATGTCCATCTGCCATGGATAAAGGTCCTTTTTGCCAATCTAGTACATATAAAATAGTATGTCGTGGTTTAAATTTGTATTTTTCTGATAATTAGTGATGGTGGTCAACTTTACAAATGTTTATTGGCAATTTGGAATTCTTCTGGTATATATCTGATCACAAATATTTTGTCTACTTTTCTATAGGGTTGTCTGTCTTCTTAGTCTTTGTCTACCCTCTAGAATATATATTCCATGAGGACAGAGATTGTATTCCTGGCACCTAGTGTAGTGATTCTGGTCACAGTAAGCATTAAATAAATTAATTAAATCATTGAATTAATGACTGTAATGTCTGGATACCATGTTGGGTATATATTTTGCAATGTTTTCCCAGTCTGTGGCGTATCTTTTCATTGTATAGTATATCTTGAGGAACTTAAATTCTTCCTACCAAATTTATTAGTTTTTTTCTTCATGGCAAAACTTTTCTTAAGTTTTCTTAAGTTCAAAAGAATCTTTTCTTACCTCAAGTTGCTGGTATTCTTCCATATAACATTCTAAGCATTTTATAATTTTGTCTTTGTATTTTTTAATCTAACTAGAATTTAATTTTCATATAGTTCTAACTTCTCTTTGTTTCTTATGATCTTCCAATTATTCTGGCAGCATTTATTGAGAAAATGGTCTTTACCTACTGATGTGCAATATTCACCCTATCATATACCAAGTGTTTTTAAATGGGACAAGTGTTTCTGAGATCTGCTTTATTCCACTGATCTACTTGTCTAATCCCTATGCCACAATCACATTGCCTTATTTACAGCAGTTTTATAATACAGAAATGATTACTAAAGCTAGTCCTATCTTGCTCAGAATGTCTCCATTATTTTAAGCCCTTTGCATTTCTGAACAATTTTAAAATCGGTATTTACCAAGGCAAACAAAATTGGCAATGTATTGAATCTACAAATCAATTCAAGTAACTCTCAACTCTTAAATATTGTCTTCTAATCCATGAATTATTTATAGTTAGTTACATCTTCATTTATTTAGATCTTCCCAAGTCTCTCAATAAAGTTCTACAATTTTCCCAAAGAGGAAAAAAAGGTCATATATATTTCTTGTCAGATATTTATCAAAAACTTTATGCTTTCAATACTTTTCTAAATGACATCCTTTTAAAATTTCACTTAAAAAACAAAGTATAGATTTATAATGTCTGCATACTAATTTTTGTATTCAGTAAAATTATAAATTCTTATTATTTTAATACTTTATCCATAGTTTCTTTTGAATTTTCTACATAAAATCATGTGATCTGCTTTTAAGGAAAGACACTTGTTTCTTTTTTCAAGTTTTCCAGTCTTTATACTTACTACTACTTTTTCTTGACTTACTGTGCTGGATAGGATACCTGGTACAATGTTGCAATGTCATAATTTTTTATTGGTACTATGCTAGTATTTTTATGCTGAAAACTTCCTAAAACAAGAAGTGTATATCTACATTAATGTCTATATAGACATAAAGCCTACGAAAACCCAATATGAAAACTCAATACTTACTGAAAGATTAGATCTAGATTTTTAACTTTAAATGTTGTGCAGTTCAAGAATAACATTATAAAGAAAGCTGATGATCAGTTAGGAATATATTCTGCTGCAAGAAACAAAACCTAACAAAAGTGGCTTAAATAACATGATGTTTATTATATCATTCAACAAGAAAATGAAAGGTAAGTGTCTGTTGGCACTGGTTCAGCAGCACAAGGACATTAGGGCAGACTTATGTTATGTTTATGGCCTTTCCCTCATGGTCACAAGATGACTGCAGCAGCTCCAGGTATAACACACTTAAGTTCAAAAGCAGGAGACAGAGAAGGGGCAATGGAAATCTGTCCTTTTGTGAGACAGACAAATGCTTTCCTAGGTGTAAACAAGACCAATTTCACCATATTTTTCACTGGAAAAACTAGCTCATATGCCTATCTCAAGAAGCAATGGAGAGTGGGAAGCAAAATATATGATTGTCATAATTAACTTCAGCCTATCATCTGAGACTGGACACATTGCTACCCCAAACCAAATTGTGGTACTATTAACAACAAAGACAGGCTATCAAATATAAGTGTCTGCTACAGTGATACACATTTTCCTCTACTGCTTTCTTAATTTCACATGTACAGACATTAAAATTAGAAATAACCTGCCACTAATGCCAACCAAAGATTCCCCTAACATTATAATAATTTTACATATTGTCTAGAAGTATTCTCATTAAAAACTTTGTTAAGGAATCTTAATTAGTTTAAAAAAAATCCCCACAAGGGTAAGAAAGAGGCTTTTAAGATATTTTAGTGACAGCTCTAGTTTCTGATTGCATGACATTAGCTAAGTTTCTGAAAAAATAAATTTATAAAATTTCCTATTAATCAATTAATCTCATAATTATCCTCATCATTTAATCAGAAAATGTCAGCCAGTCCTTATAAGCCCACTGAAATATCTCTTAATACAGTAATCTTACCTCAGGTATGCACCATATAAGAAGAACAATCCCATCATTATTCCATTTAAAATAAAAATCACAGCAACATAAAAGCAAGCAGGGTCTCCCAATCCTTTAAAAAGACACAGGTTATTCAGTATTTAATGAATAAAAGACTATAAAGCAATCAGGCATAATTATCTCAGTGCTTTGTAATCAAGGGTTCATGAACTTGCTGAAAACATTTGCTGTTCAGAGTGCTGGGCAGCACTCTATTTAATAGTTACATTAGTACTTCCCCTTACCTAAGGTATTATTATGCTGTAATGATTAGTGGGTGCTTCACTTTGTTTAGGTGATGCTATTGTTCAGTGTCTAGAACTCTCTGTGGAGTCACTGCATGCATTACAGGAGAAAACCCACTGCATTATTTTTATCCTTTGCTAGGTTTTAGGATGAATTAAGATATGGCCCCTGACGTCAAGGAGCACATTAAGTCTACATGAGATGACCTAATTATTTGATCCATTACTATGTATGGACAAACCTTAGTTCTTAATATATCCCAGGTATAAACCTGTGTGTGTGTGTGTGTTAGTAAGAAAATACTCTTATTACTGACTAACAGAACACAGAAAACTTAAAGAGCTTGCCAAAAATTATTCAGGTGTAACTGATGGAGCCAAGATCTGAAGGCTGGTTTTTGTGATTCCTTCTATTGTAGTAACTTCAAGTCACACCACCCCTCTTCCCTGTCAGATCACCTTAGGCTCTGTCCCAGGCGCTCTTCTCTTCTTGGTCTGCATATTCTCCTCAAAATATTCTTTAAAAATATTTTTACTTATTCTATTTGAATTCAATCAGTTAACACATAGTGTATCATTATTTCAGCTGTAGAATTCAGTAATTTATCAGTTGCATATTAACACCCAATGCTTATTACATCACGTGCCCTCATTAATGTCCATTACCCAGGTAACCGATCTCTTCCACCTACCCTCCAGCAACCCTCAGTTAGTTTCCTATGGTCAAGAGTCTCTTAAGAGGGTTTGTTTCCCTCTCTGATTTTGTCTTATTTTATTTTTCTCTCTCTTCCGCTTCTGATACTCTGTTTTGTTTCTAAAATTCTACAAATGAGTGAAATCATATGATAACAGTCTTTCTCTGATTGACTTATTTTGCTCAGCATAATACCCTCCAGTTCCATTCATGTTGATGGAAATGGTAAGATCATCCTTTTTGATAGCTGAGTAATATTTCATTGTATATACACACACACACACACACACACACACACACACACACACACACTATCTTCTTTATCCATTCATCTGTCAGCGGACATCTGGGCTCTTTCCATAGTTTGGCTATCGTGGACATTACTGCTATAAATATTGGGGTGCAGGTGCCCCTTTGGATCACAACATTTGTGCTTTTTGGGTAAATACCTAGTAGTGCAATTGCTGGGTCATAGGGTAGCTCTATTTTCAACTTCTTGAGGAACACCCATACTGTCTTTCAGAGTGGCTGCACCAGCTTGCATTCTTACTAGCAGCGTAACAAGGTTCCCCTTTCTCCACATCCTTGCCAACATTTGTTTCCTGACTTGTTAGTTTTAGCCACTCTCCACAATGCAGGGATAGAGGAAACATACCTCAATATCATAAAAGCTATATATGAAATGCTTTCCACAGAGAATATCATTCTCAATGAGGAAAAACTGAGAGCTTTTCCCCTAAGGTCAGGAACACGATAGGGATGTCGACTCTCACCACTGCTATTCAGTATAGTACTAGAAGTCCTAGCCTCAGCAATCAGACAACAGAAGAAATAAAGGGCATCCGAATTGGCAAAGAAGAAGTAAAACTCTCTCTCTTCACAGATAACATACTTTACGTAGAAAACCCAAAAGACCCTATCCAAAAATTGCCAGGTCTCATACGAGAAACCTTAAGGAAATTCTTAAACTTCCAAGGCTCCAAAGATCATCTGTACACAGATGACTCCAGGTTTAGAGTCAGACCAGAACTTTCTTCTTTCTATATGTGTCCAGGCAGGTGGTCTCTTGACATCTCCACTTTGAGGTCTCCCAGGTACTTCAAACTACTGTAGCAATTCAAACCTGCTACTTTTAAAATGTCTTTACCATTTGAAGAAACTCAATTACTTAAGCCAGAAACCAGTGTTACATGACTGCACCCTCCTTCCCCTCTCTCAACGATCGATTACCAAATTTTGTCAATTCTGCTTCTAAAATCTCCCAAATATCTGCATTTCCCAGTTATTTGTCCTGCAGTCAGCTGCTGAGAGCATAACAGTCTCCCCTCTGTTATCACTGAACCCACTTTTGTCTTTTACTAATATCTTTTCCATATAACTGGCAAAATAATGTTTTTTAAATACTAGTTTATGAAAATCCCTCAATGAATGAGAAAATCCTTAGCCTGCAGGTGGCCTTTCCTTTTCTGACCCTCGCTTACATGCCCAGCATCATTTCACAACATTTTTCCCTCTTTCTCTGCACCCAGAAGTCTAGCCTTTTTTTCAGTTTTCTCTCATCTTGGGACTTCTGAATATTCTTGTTCCTATTCTTTAGACACTTCTCCCTTACTGCTATCCTTAACAACCTCATTTTCTTACTTGTAATATACATCACAAGTATTACTACCAATCCTCTTCTTATGTGTAAACTCTGTGAGGGTGAGGTCCGTGTCTACCTGGGTCAACCTGATCCCAACAGCAAATACTAACCTATCACTTTGTAACAACTTAATAAATATCATATATGTACATATATACAATTAATGACAAAAAAGCAACATTTTAGAAAGAAACATGCCTTCACAGCTTTGAACTTCATTTAAAGGTTCTACCCTGGTGACATTCCAGCAGGTCTTAGCTTCTAGCCCAAATAAATTCATTATTCCCACAAATATGCGATACCAGAAGGCTATAATCACCTACAAAGACAAAAACAAAAAGAGATGATAGAAGAAAAGATCCTATCTTCATAATAATTTTTCCAAAATACTATTTTATAATGTTTTCCTTTGACATTATAAATTTTGACAAATTTATTTAAATCATTTCACTTGGAAAACCATCATTTAAAAATTATATATATATATATATGTATATATATGTATATATACACATACATATACACACACACTAAACTGAAGTTGTATGTTACTAATTAGTGAATTAGTGCACATCTACAAAAATTTGTTATGATCACCATCTCTGCAATATATTCTTGTCATCAATTCTATAACATAAATAACAGTAGCTATAAAATAGGTAAATAGCATATAATTAAAACATGATGGTGATTAACAGGAAAATATAATTATTTACAGGAATATTTCATAACATTTCATTTATTGAATTTATTTGCTACACGGACTAAAAAATATAAAACCAATTGCATATGGAATAATAGCTCCTGTGCCCATTAAAACTTTTTTTTTCAGCATAACAGTATTCATTGTTTTTGTACCACACCCAGTGCTCCATGCAGTCCGTGCCCTCTCTAATACCCACCACCTGGTTCCCCCAGCCTCCCACCCCCCCACCTCTTCAAATCCTTCAGATTGTTTTTCAGAGTCCATAGTCTCTCATTGTTCACCTCCCCTTCCAATTTCCCTCAACTGCCTTCTCCTAACTCCCCATGTCCTCCATGCTATTAGTTATGGTCCACAAATAGGTGAAACCATATGATAATTGACTCTCTCTGCTTGACTTATTTCACTCAGCATAATCTCTTCCAGTCCCATTAAAACTCTGACCAAACAGGTTTAATTAACCAATTCTTCCCATTCTGCAAACCACTTTGTGAAGTTTAAAGAAAAGGGAAAAGAACAACCATAGAAAACTACAAACAAAATGCTCATGCCTAGGAGATTTGGGAAAAATTTATAGATTTGGGAAAAATAATGCAAGATCATTGGGGAAAGAATAAAAAATAAAATAAAAATAGAGTTCAAAGTGAAAGCAAAAACCACCCAGCACTAACTATTTTTAATATGTTGGTCATCACCCCTCCATTCTTCCCCTTGGTATGTAAAAAACACATAGCTAGATCTAGTTTTCAATAATATTATATAAGATGTTAATGTAATACACAACACCAAACATCATAAACATCTATCCATGAACAAAAAGTATAAATTTATTATTTTATCACTTTTACAAACTTGACCTTATATAAAAAATTGTAATATATCTTCTTACGTATTTATCATCCATGTATAAAAACTTACCATATTAAATGTATGTTCTAAATCTAGAATTATATTCATTTCTGAAAATTAGTGTGATATAATAAGAAAGCACTGCTTTAAAGTCAGAATTGAGTCGAATTCTGACTCTGTTATCCTCTGACTCTTTTGATATCCTCAAGGAAATCCTTCAACCTTTGAACCGTGGCCACCTCATTTCTAAAATGATGTTAACAATAACCATCTTGCAGGAGTGCTGGGGGATTAGAGCTTACATGCCAGCATGTAGTTAAGCCTTAAATGCTTTGCCTTTTCAAAATATATTATTCCAAATTTAACTCTTTATCTTTGGGAAAAATTAATCTCCTTATGAACACAAAAAGTATGGACATTTCATTTCAACATTGAAGTACCATAACAGGTTGCAAGCATAACTAGATCTTCTCCATACTGTATCTATGCAATGTGAAATAAGACTGAATGATTCCTTCTTGCCTCATCCTTTATGATACTATCTATTTATGTTATCATGATTACTTTTCCATAACATCAAGGAGATTGAAAACTGCTAATTATTCAGTATCTTTGAATAAGTAAAAAGAAAAAAAAATTAGCTCATGTCTTGGAGAACATACTGTTAGAAATTAATGGGACAAGAAATAAGCATTTTATTAAAGTTCTAAAAATAGCCCTAAAACTAGTGTAATAAGCTAAATCTTCATCTTACATACACAGAATAAGTCAACATTAACTAAAATTGAAGATTCGAGAAATCAGTTGTCTTTTTTAACTTTTGCACTTACACCAGGGTCCTACAGATAGTCATCACAGGAAACAAGAACAGAAGAGTGTCTCTGAAGTGTAAGCTGGGATATAAAGAAAGCTGGTGCAGAAAACAGCTTCCTTCATCTTAGATCTTAGGTGTATACTACACAGTCGTTACTACTGAAAATTACCTTGAAAAATACTTACAGAATAAAAAAAGGGGAAGACACCTGAGTCGCTCAGTCCTTTAAGCATCTGACTCTTGATTTTAGCTCAGGTCAGGATCTCAGGGTCATGAGATCGAGTCCCACTGTCATGTTCCACACTGGGCACGGAGCCTGCTTAAGATTGTCTCTCTCCCTCTCCCTCTACCCCTCCCCTGTCTTTTTTCCCTTTCTAAAAAACAGAAATAAAAGAAATTTAAATAAATCTGGGAAACACCCAACTACTTGGAAATTAAGCAACATAATACCAAATACCCAATAGATCAATGAGAAAAATCACATGGGAAATTAGAAAATAACTTGAACAGAACAAAAATGAAAAGCAATATATAAATAGTTAAATAATATGAATTTCTGCTTTGGGGGAGATGGAGTAGATATACTTTTTGTTGTTTCTCCTGGAAATTACATAAATCAAATATAAGAAGACCCTGAAAGGTAGAGAGAAGGCAAACCACCTAGGGATCTTAGGACCCAAAGAACAACATGGTGATGCGTTTTCTGGACTTTACTTTTCATTTTGAGATTTGGAGTTAAAGAGCCTGAAAACAAGAAATACTAAACCAACCAGACACAAAAAAAGACTGACAAAAGCCTGTTCTCTCTACCTAAAGGACCAGGAAAGTGGCAGCCTGGGAATACATAAAAATGTTATAAACAATTTTCTCTCTCTTCACCCAAATAGCACAGAAAACAACAAAAACCTATAAGGTGCCACCCCCACCAACAAAGGTTAAATTGGGAACCTAGACTTCAACCTTCTCTAAGCTTTTAACAAGTCATCTTAATTCACCCACTAAGATGTTGCAACAGAAAGCCAAGAAGGAAGCTCTCTATCTCCATGGTGTCAGTATAGACTACGTGAGGAGCTTGGACTTCTACCCCAACCAGCAATAAGCCATTCTTTCCCCTTCCCAGTGTGGTAATGTCAGAGGAGGCCTAGTGGAGTCAGGGCTTTCATTACCACTCTGGGGTAACCAGGCTATCCACACAGTGGTGTCTGTAGAGATCAGAGTTGGTCAGAGCTCTGATCTCACTCAAAGGTAATGAGGAATAAATACTTCTACCTTGGGATCAGCAGAGGCTGGGAGAGAAACCTGGACTTCGATACCCATCTGGCAATAACTGGATAGCAGACATCCTCATTTCTTTGCTGGAGTGATGCCAAAGAAAGCCACTTAAAACTAAGGTTTAAATAAAACCAGTTTCATAAAATAATGTTCAAATATCCATCAGCTGATGGACACTGATGTCCAATATGATGAAACACGCTCATCATATCAAGAACTATAAAGATTTCAAACTGAATGAAAAAAAAAAAGAGATTCCAACAATGAGATGACAAAAAATTAGAATAATTGCTCCAATTAGAAATTATGCATGTGCTGGAAACAAAAACTCAAAAAGTCTCAGGAAAGAAATAGAAGATATTAAAGAAACAAACAAATATTTCAGAACTGAAAAAGACAATAACCAAAACTAAAACACAGTGGATGGGCTTAACTGATGAATGAAAGGATAGAGGAAAATAATCCATGAACTCGCAGACAAAGCAATAGAATTTGCCCAATCTGGGAAACAGAGAAAAAACAGATTTGATAAATAAGTAAATAAGGTTCCCTAGGAACCTCTTGGACTATAAGAAAAGATCTAACATTTGTTCTCACTAAAGTCTTGAAAAGAGAAAAGAAGAAACCAAAGCTGAGCAAAACAAAAATAGGATAAAAACAAAGAAATCCACACCAAGACAAATCACATTTTTTAAAACGTTTAAACATCACATTTGTGAACACTTGTGAAAACTAAAAAAATAAATAAATCAGTAGGTAGATATATAAAATAGCAACAAGGAAGAAAAAAAATCTTACCTAAAGGAGAAAAACAATTCAACTGACAATAGATTTCACATCAGAAGCTGTGAAAGACCAGAGTGAAGTAGCATATTTAACAAATGCTGAAAGAAAAAAACTGTCAACCTAGAATCCCATATTCAGCAAGTAAATAAATAAATAAATAAACAACCTTCAAGAATTAAAGGGAGTTTGACATGAAAGATGAAACAAAACTAGTAAAGTATGTTTCTAGCAGACTTAGCCTGAAAGAATGGCTAAAGAAAATTCTCTAAACAGAAATGAAATGATAAAAGACGGCATCTTAGAACATAAGGAAGAAATTTTAAAAATGGATAAGATAAACTTCTAGAGGTTTTTTTTTTCCAAAGATTGTATTTATTTATTTGACAGAGAGAGAGATCACAAGTAGACATAGAGACAGGCAGAGAGAGAGGGGGAAGCAAGCTCCCCATTGAGCAGAGAGCCCAATGTGGGGCTCGATCCCAGGACCCTGAGATCATGACCTGAGCCGAAGGCAGAGGCTTAACCCACTGAGCCACCCAGGTCTCCCGACTTCTTGAGTTTTTTAAAAATAAGTTTGAAGACTAAAAGAAATATCATAGTACTGTCTGATGTGGTATTAAATGGATGTAGAGGAAATATTTAAGATGATTATATTATAAAAGGAGAAGGGTAAAGAGAGGTATACTTGATATTAGCCAAAAGGCCAAGAAGCGATGAGGGTAAAGAGATGTAAAGACAGGTAAGTTTTCTGTACCTTATTTGAGCTAGTAAAATGATAACAGCAGTAGACTGTAGTAGTTATGTAAAGTTATGTATAGGTAATATATCTAATACATAGCTATAACAACTAAAAATGCTACATAAAGAGATACATTCAAAAAGGATAGATAAAATAGAATTTAAAAATCTTCAAATAACCCACAGGAAAGCAGAGAAAAGAAGAGACAAATGAAAAATGAAAGACAAACAGAAAAAATAAAAGACTGAAGCTGAAACAGATTAATAATTACATTATGTGTAAGTCATAAAACACAACAAATAAAAATGTAATATAGACAGATTAAAAAACATGACTCAACTATAAGAAACAGACTTCAAATATAAGGTTAAAGGCAAGTTGAAAATAGAAGGATGAAAAAACGTATCATGTACATATTAATCAAATGAAAAAAGTTTGTTACTATCAAAAAATTAGACTTCAAGGCAAACAAAAATATGAGCAAATGGGGTAAGGTTATATATTGATAAAAATCTAACAAGAGGATGTAGCAATACTAAATGCAATGTGTACTAAATACACTGTTATAAAATATATGAAGAATAACTGACAGACCTAAAAGGAGAAATAGATGGATCCAGAACTATAGTTGGAGACTTTAGTATCCCTCTCCCAACAATGGATGGATTATCTAGACAGAAAATCAAAAGGATTGAGAAAATATCACCACCACTATCATTGCACAGGATCTAGTCAACATTTATAAAATACTTTACTCAATAACAACATAAAATGGAGCTTTTTCAAGTGCTCACAGAATATGTCAAGATGAACCATATTCTGGGCCATAAAACAAACCTCAATAAACTTAAAAGAATCAGAATGATACAAAGTATATTTTCTAAACACAATTAATTTTTTTTTAAAGATTTTATTTATTTATCTGAGAGACAGTGAGAGAGAGCATGAGAGGGGAAAATGTCAGAGGGAGAAGCAGAGTCCTTGCTGAGCAGGAAGCCCGAGGCAGAACTCGATCCCGGGACTCCAGGATTATGACCTGAGCCGAAGGCAGTCGCTTAACCAACTGAGCCACCCAGGCACCCTACACACAATGAATTTAAGCCACAAATTAGTAACACAAAAATAAACAGGAAATCTCCCAATACTTGGAAACTAAAAAAAAACCCACTTTTAAAAATCCATGAAGCAAGGGGCACCTAGCTGGTTCAGTTGATAGGGACTCTTGATCTTGGGGTTGTGAGTTCAAGCCCTGCACTGAATGTAGAGATTACTTAAAATTTAAAAAAAAAAAAAAGTTTTTTAAAAAATCCATGAATCAAATAGAAAATCTCAAGGGAAATAAAAATATACACTAAATTGATTATTAATGAAATACAAAGTTTTCAAGTCCAGCATCTTAGAAGCTTATTAGTTGCAACTCCATCCTAACAAGCAAAAAGCTGAACAAACTGAAAAATGAGCAACTCTTCTTAGATTCCTTCCTTTGACTTTATGTAAGCAGATTCTGGCATCTTTAAAATTTAAGAGGAATTTTTGATACTCTGCCCAACTATAAGGACACATACAATCAATAAGCCTTAAAGGTTCCCTCCTTTTTATAACATCACTGTATTCACTATTTTTATGATAAAAAAGGATCATTCTACAAATATTTTTCCCCAAACAGTACTCACCTCTGGATAAAGATGGAAGCGTTTCACTGTATTAATTACAAGGGGATATTCAGTAAGCCTGTCATTCATTATCATCCAGAGTCCTTCCAAAAATGATGGTGCTTCAATAATGGTCTTGAAGTAGGAATAATAAAGTCCCTTAAAAATGCACAAATTGTTGATGTAATTAAATATGAAAATATTTGAACAATTTCTTCTGAATAAAAGGAAAAATCAATAATAAGACTTCCTATTTCTCCTTGCTACTGCATTGTTGGGCTCAAAAAAAGGCATGCCTTTTCAAGTTACCACTGTGCTATTCTTTCATATTTTCTGCATGTTTGAAAAAGAGTGGGAGGGATAGTTAAATGTTTTAAAGAGTTTTTCTGACCATGGCTTAAAACATAACTACAATATATTTTTAATTCCAGCACACCTGATTTTGCCCCATTTTGAGATGTCTAGAGGTTGAGATCTGATGAATTCTGGCATAAACAGAGATGCTTTCATGTCCTTGTGCAACTCTGCATATAGATACTTTTTTTTCTACCTCTTAAGAAATAACATGCAATGATCATAAGCAAAAATGAGACAGAACTTAATGTTTGCAACTTACTTACTTCCTAGCTCCATCTAACAGCTCTGCACGTGTCAAATGTTATGTCAAAATAAATGTCAATTAACTACTGTTGTTCAAGACACAATGCAGTCCTGAGAAAGGGATTAATTTAGTGTATTATTCCAGCACAGGAAATAATGAATTTATTAGGCCAGCCAAAGCACTGTTCAGTTAAAACTCAGAGATTAACGAAAGCATGTTGTTTCATATTACTTTCTTCATCAATTTCTTGCTTTTCTTCCTAAAATCGAAAAGCAAATAAAGGCCCACACTGTTTGTAATACCCGCTCCCAAAAACATTAAAATAATCTTTAACTCTACACTCATGCATGTCTATACAGCTACTTCGTTATCAACAGATGAAGCAATGCCAGGCTACTAAGTTGAAGTTCTGTTTTAGCTGATGTCTGAAAGAGCATTCCTCGGATTTTTGATTGGTAAATTATGAGTTCACATAAAGATTGTTCCTTTTGGCTTAGAAGGACAAGACAATACTACAACTAAAGGGTACTTAATATGAATAAGCCACTATTTAGAGAAATAAGAAATACACAGATATGTTTTTATTAATAACATCTATTGTTTTTGTGCCAACTACTGTGTTAGTATGTTTCATTCATTATCTCCCTTCATAGTCAATAAAATCCTTAAAGCTGGCATTATTTCTAGACAACAGATGAGATTACTGAGAATCAGAGGTTAACTGCCTAGCCATCACATAAGGAAGCAGAGACCTGCTATCTGAATCCAATTATCTGTCATCAATGCCCAGACTCTGCCACAACTACACAATTTATTTAAGAATATCTTATATCCTCTTTTGGGAAATAATACCTACAAAACACTAAAAATTTAAATACCATGCAAATGCTCATGTATTCATTTTTTTCAAAGAATTAAGTGGGAGGATATTAGGGTAAGATCTAAGCCATGGTTAAGATACCTCCATTAGACAAATCTGCAGAGACAGAAAGCAGAACAGAGGTTACAGGGGGCTGGGGAGAGAGTTAGTTTTAATGGGTATAGTTTCTGTTTGGGGTCATAAAGTTCTGGAGATAAATGGTGGTGAGGACAAGCAATTTCTGATAACATTCAGTATCCCTATATCACTTCTTAAATGTTGTCTTTTCTCTCCTTCTTCCCCAGCTATGCTAATTGATCTTTTTTATATTAAAAGAGTCTGCATTAGAAAAGTAAGGTAGTGAGGTAAGTCAAAGAATCCCAAAACATTTTCTATTTACGTAATAAACCTAGGTTATAGTTTGAGAAACAGTGCAACAAAAATCCATTTCAGTTCCTAATAAATGTCTGCCTTATAATCTTACTATTGTTAAACTACAAATTAATTTATTATAAGAAACTAACCATTTCAGTTCGGAAAGTCATCTCCCGTTCTAAAGATGATAGGTGGGAAAAATGACGATCATTTTCAAAAAGTGTTACTAAATGTATCCTAGAAAAAAAATGAAGCACCATATTCTAAGAATAAGAACATTTCAAAACCAGTACTAAAATAGTTAAGTATTAAAGTACAAAAACCACAAAAGGAAAAAGAATAAATTTTATAATAAATGAGATAATTTTATAATTTTCTTAGTAATTTGTGTATTTTTAGGCATTTATAATTTAGTGTAGCACATAGCTGAAATTCCTTACTTCTTGGTTCTTAATTATAACTGTTTATCTAAACTCCTCTGGTTTCTCTGTCCCCTTCCACTCTATGCCTCTAAGTCAGAACAGAGGCAAGTTTTTAAGTTTCATAAGTTATTCTATTTTAACAGTTTTGAGAAATGTCTCTGTCACTTTCAGAACATTGCTTTAAATAAAATTACTTTAGATTAAAGCAGTTTAAAAATAAAGAGAATACCATGTAAGGGATCAGCTTGCAAGTGCCAAAGGACAAAGAACTATACTTTAAGATATATGATTAGTCCAACTCAAGAAAAAGCAGTAGGCAGTAAAAATGGGAGCATATGTGAAAGTAAAATTAGTCACCAATTATGCTACCCTAAATTTAAATAGATCTTTCCAAATAAATAGAAAACAAAGTTCCAAATATCAACCCTGTCTTCCACTCACCTTGACTGACATGCGAGATGTATGTCAGGATATCAACAGCTTTAGGAAATATTTCTTCCCAGTACAGTCTTAGTTCTAAAATCAAAATCTCCCTGCAGACTAAGTGGCCAGAACAGCACTGTCCCAGAAGGACATGAACACACACTTCCCAAAAGTAAAAATTCCTGAGCTCAGGTAGAAATGAAAATACATCAGAGGAAAAATATTATTTTATTTATAATTTTTACAAATAGATGACTTGTGTAAAGTAAGGTACATTATACACACACTGAAAGTCTCATTTAATCTGTATTACTACAGCCCAGTCTTTATTTTCATTTCTACTTGATTTCTAATTGACGAGGTGTTACCTCTAAGCTTATGTCACTAAGAACACATAATTACTGTAAAATAAGAGTTTAAGATGAAATAAACATGCAAAGTACACTAGGAAAAGCTAGAGGTTAAAGAAATAAAGTAGTGAATTCTTCAGTAACAGAAAAATATTTTAATTCCTAAGTGCTATTCCTCTAACACATCCGTTTTGTAAATTTTGCTACACATACTTTTTCAAAAAATTACGTGTAAACTGGTGCACAAACACATTCTACACACATAGCAAGTGGCTATTGTTTTATTGTACCAAACAGCAATGTCAATTTTTAATCCAAATGTTTTTATTTGTTTAAAACTGAAACAAATCTTACCAGTGCAAAACTCCCACAAAGGCAGCTGGAAAAACAAAAAAAGGCATTAAAAGCTGCTTTATTATAATATACCTTTAAAACAACTATTTCAAATGCATTCCATTATATTCCTGAAGAGCAGATACAGGAAGATGGCTAGCTAATTCTATCTACATAAAATAGGAAAAATTTACAAACTGACATAAAACAAATTATGAGTAGTGCCTTCCCTCTGCGGGGGGCGGGGGGAGGAGTTCAAGGAGCAAAGGGAAGTTTGGAAGACGATGTTGCATTTACATAACTTGCCAAAAAAGTGGTGAAATCATTAATGATTTTGACCTTTGGAGGGGATTTTCAGTTTATTCTCTCTTCTCCCTCTTATTCTCTATTTCTTTATGTAAATTTTTTAAAACAAGCACATATATATACACGGTGCTCAGCTCAGTCCTTTCAGAAGTGACTCTAGCTTACAGGAGCCATTCTAAACCATCTTCCCCAGGGCTCTTCAGATATTGTTAAATGCAGGGAATCACTTCCTCAGCAGCACACCTGAAAGTCCCTATTTATGGAGTTTTGATTGCTCCCAGCCTGGTGGCCTGGGAGATTCATCTAGAGTCGCCCAGCCTGCACCCTATGCATGAGGCTTATCAGAGGGTGTGGAGATGGGTCAAACAGGATCACTATTTTGGGTATGGGTTTCTGAGGAGCTCCTAATACTGTCTGTCCCCTTTGCTGGCTGGGATGCTGCTTGTTTTCAAGGATACCATAAAACTGGGAGGGGGCATAGGATAAGGCCAGATTAAAATGCCACCAAACCCTGCTGTTCTTATACAACTGCAGTAGTGTTTTTGAATACATGCTCTTTAGAGTAAACCTTTGGTTAACTTATAAAGTTTTGAAAAGTTGATTTTGACAATTTTCCAAATATTTTGGTCATAATCGTGGAGGAGTAAATTTACTCAGCTATTCCTAAAGTCCTGCCTCCCCTCCAAGATTTTATAATAGTACTTCTTACAAATGTCCCAAATATACTTGGCAAGTCATTTTAAGAAACCACCAACTTTAGCCTCTCAAAAATTCAAGAAATTATCTTGACTAACAAAATAAATGTGAATCGATAAAAAAAATAATAACAAACTATAACGTCAAAAAAAAAAATTCTCAATCATGCTTCTCCAGAGCTTGTTCTCCATATTCCTAACCATCCTGGGCTCATTCCTACCACTCTTCAATACTTCTCAGAAGACCGTGATCAGCAAACTACAGCCCATGGTCTGTTTCTGTACTGTCCACAAGCTAAAAATTCTTGTCACAATTTTAAAGGGTTGTACAAATATGGAAGAAGAAGAATAAGCAATGGAGACTATATGTGGCCTGTGAAGCCTAAAATATTTACTACCTGGCTTTTTATAGAAAAAATACATACTCACTACTTATGTTAGCTCTTTCTAATATGTAATATACCCTGAACCACTTTGAAATTTGACCTATACCTTCTTTCTAAAATTGAAACAGATGCCTTTTTGATAAGGCTTCATTAGCTTTAAGATACATATGCCATCCTATTTCAGCCATGTTTCTTTTCTCATTCTTACTCTCTAGACAATCACATGTATTGGCAAAAACTCTTAAAAATGATGTTAATGGAAAGGGGAAAGATCAAATATCCTACTAAATCCATCTAGCCTTCCATATATCCTCAAAATACTCTTGTGTCTTTCAATCCCTCCCGACTCCACATTCCACACCTGAAAAAATGATAAAGTGCAATGATTCCAATATTCTAAATGCAGGAAGTTTTATATTGCCTCTTCCAAAGATGTGATAAAAAGCATGTCTCCTGATGCCTGTATCCTGTCAATCTCACCTCTGAAAGGGACCTAGCCTTATAGTTCATTGAAACAGAGATCATTTGATATAAGTTCTCCCAACTTCTCTTATATCCACTTTTAAAATTTCTCTACATACTAATCCTTGTTTTTCTATTCTCTACCATCTCAGCCAAGGAAGTATCTCTTCTCTTTTCTAGTTAGCTTCTCAAATTTGTGTCTCTAATTCCATCCTTCTCAAATATTCCAAGACTTGGCTCCATCAACTATTTCCTCTCTTGGAACCTAATCTCACCCTCTCCCCGAGATCTTTCTCTACAGCCTTCAATTCTCCTAAGCCTTAAAACATTTCCATTGAGCTAAAAGCCCTTCAAACTATGACATATTCTGTCCCCCCCATTTGCTGATGAGATTCTTAGCCAGCTACTTTCTTCTAAGTTCCTATAACTTAAAAAAAAAAATGACCAATGACATTTTAGTTAGCAACATCAATGGCCTCTTTAAAGTCTTATGTCTTTCAAACCTCTCTGTAGGATCTTGAATTTCTTCATCTTTTATTACACCAACCCTTCTAGTTCTTCCATGCTTCTGACCACTCTATTTTAAATGCTTTTCTGACTCTTCCTTTTCCTCTCATCTCTTAAAACTAAGTATAAGGGGTTTTCCCAAATATCTCTGTTTTGCCCACTTTTCTTTCATTGGGAGTATCAATCTTCAAGTTTCAATCCACTTCTACATGGATAATTCCCAAATCTACAGTCCTCGCTGCTAAACTTTCTCTCTTTCCTTCCACCTCACCACCTACCCAGTCCTCACAAGATGCTTCCATTGCTCTCACCTCTGTCCTCTCTTCTCCATTCCTGTTGTTAACTATCTCATTAAAACCACTATTGCCTGGATTCCAGTATTTAATTATTTCTTTCTGCTTCTTTTTTCCATCCATCTCCAGTCTATTTTACAAACCACTGTTAGGTTAATGATGTTACTCTATTTAAAAATTATTCAATGTTAACATGGTGAATGTACTAAATGCCACAGAATTATTCAGTTTAAAACGGTTAATTCTATATGATGTGCATTTCATCTCCTTAAAATTTTTTTTCTTAAAGAATCAATCAATCAATCAATTAATTCTACAGAATTAATTTCAAATTCCTTAAATGAAATTTTGAATTAGACTTTTCACAGCTGGTCCCCGCCAACCTTTTGAACTGCCTTTCCACTTCCTCCTCCTTTTGTATCTTTCCTTTTCACCTTACTTTACCTTCAGGTTTTCTGACTTCTTTGACTTCAATTATGCCATTCTGCTGGCTTCTAATACTTGTTCTCTGCCTCACAGATCCAAATGTTAGCCTTAATGTCACAATTCTAATCCCACCTTTTCCTAAAAGTCTTCTCTGATCTCAATTCCCATCTCCCATCCTAAAGTATTAGTTTGCTCTTCTGAACTCTCTTAGCACTTAATATACTGGGTCATTATTTCACACAGCACTCACTGAGCACTGCCTTCGGTGTGCCAAACATGGGTGCTCAGGAGCTTGTGTTTGGGACGGCAAAACAGCCTGGTATCAAGAGCATTCTGATTCTGGATGTGGGATGTTATCTATTGCTTTAGTTAGACACCTGATAAAATGTAAGTGTGAATTCCCATCTATTATTCCTCTGGTACTTGTAACACCCCAAATGTGGAGACTCCTCCTTCTTTAACATCAGCAGTCAACTTATGATGAAAAGAAATCACAACAACTTACATTAGTAGACATTTCTCTGTTTCAACATCTATCAGTAGCCAGTCTGATCAAGGACTAGGCTCAAATTTGATTCTAATGAAACAGCAACAACATTTAAATTAACTCAAAGCAACAGAAAAGGAAGAATGTAAATGAAGAAAATCTTTCAAGAGCTTAAACTAGTAAAAAAGTCCCCAAATCTAGGCAGTGAGGTTCCACAGCAATATGAAAGTAAATGAGTACTGACATGAGAGAATATATTGCCTGACATGAGAAAATATATTGTCTGATTTGACCTTATTTCCACTATTAAAGATTCTCAACTAATTAAGCAATGCTTTACTTAAGATACAAACAGAGCATATGTGTCCACCATTCTTAAACCTGCGATAAATGCTTGCCCTAAAATGACATTTTGTTGGTGACAAAGGGGTGATCACTACACCCCAAAACCCTGGAAAATGTATTAAAACAAGAGCAAAGGGAGCTGGAACTCTTGTCCGAGATTTTCTCGAGCTTGGACATTGTCATTAGGACGGCTAAGCTTGTTTGTTAAACTGATCTTTAAGACTCACCCAAACCACCTGACACCCCAGGCTCAGAGGGCACCCTCCGGCCTTGCCACGGCCTCTCCCGGCCCGTTCTGCTCACCTATGCCCAGAGAGGTCCTGCTGTTGACCTGCCGTCTCCGCAACTGCTGCACCTTGTCGCGGAGCTGCTCCAGCAAACAGGTGAGGAACTGGAAGCGGCCGAGAAGGAGGGTCTTTGCGACCACCTCCATTTGCATGCAATTCTGCGCGTTCGGATTTCGGGTCCTCCGCGGCGAGTAGCCCCGGGCGCCCCCCGGCAGGTTCCCCCCGCCTACGGGCAACGGAGGCTGCGGCTTTTCCACCTGCGCCTGCGGCTCCTCCATCTCCGGCTCCCCGGCTCCGGTGGCCCGGCGCCGCCGCCTGGACGGCATAGCGCGGGAGGAGTGCGCCGGCTCTGAAGCCGCTTCTTTGAACTTACTCCTCGTCTGCCCGACCATTTTCTCATAGTCCCTGTTCGGATGGAGCTGGGTCTCTCTGGCGCGGGCCCCGCCCAGTCGGGCGAGGTCCGTAGGGCCCTAGTTCGGCTCACAGCCTCAACGACTTGCCCCGGCCGCCGTTGCGGGCAGCCCGGTCGTCATGACGACCGGGAAAGCTGAAGGGCGGGGCCTGAGATCCCGGCGGCCCTGCGCGGCTCGTGCGTCCTCCACGCGCCCCGCGCACTGTCTCGGCGCGCAGGCCACGCGCACGGCCTTAGGGCTCTGCGTCACGTGCATCCCCCCCAGGCGCACCGTCCGCCGCGCGGCGCCGGCGCACTGGCCCACGCAAATCCCGCGCGCATCCTCGCGCGCCCGAAGCCTTGTGCCGGGCTGGGCTGCAGGGTCCGACCCGCTGGTGGGGAGGTCGGAGAAACTCTCTTCGATTTCTTTCTTTTTTTTCCAGTACAGGCTTAGCCTTTTTGTTTTTACCAAAAGGTCATTTCTACCGAAACGTCTGGAAGTAATTAAAAGGTAAGAGATCTTAGTTGAAAGAAAGAGCCATAGAAAGAGCGAGGGAAGAAAGGGGTGCGCCTCCCACTTTGGGAACAGCTTTCTCCCTGCCCTGAACACCTTGCATTGGACATTGAGTTTCTCCTACATAGTGGGATTGGCCCAAGGCCATAGGCAACATGTGGCAGAACAGGCCGAGCCAGGTGAGTCTAACTTCAAGGCCCCGGGGTTGGCCCAACAGCGGGCTGATACCGGCTTTCCCCTTGGAGGACGGCGTTTATAAATCCATTCTTGAAGTATGTGGGCCTTGAAATTGAAAGTGATTTTATCAGAAAAAAAAAATGCGTTTATTAAGGAATAGCAGAGAAATGCAATTCAGGACATATGGGCAAAACGATAGGCAAGTACAACAAGGGAGAGGAACTTTCGAGAAGGAGCCAGTTGGGAGGGGTTATTTTGCACAAAAATCCACTGGACAACATTAAGAGTGCACGGTGAAGAGGACTTCTCATTGGAGGAGTTGCCGGCTTGGCGAAGTTCTTGCGGGAGATAAAATTTACACCTTTTCCTGTTAGGGCTTTTAAGGGATGATTCTTTGTAGTTGTTGAGTCTTCCGTTCGGGGTCTGTAGTTCACCTCCACTGGCACAGTGAGGGAGCTCCCCCTTCTGGCATATAGACTCCATTTGAAATGAGGTTTCCTTTTATTAATTTTCACAAGTGAAATTGTGTGTCTCAAGAATGTTGCCAAGACAGAACTCCTTGAACATAAAATCATTGTGCTCAGTGCTCTCACCTTCCTAAACCAGACCCTACCTACCAAGCCCCACAGTCACATACATGATGCCATAGCAGCTGGCAAAGCTTTATGGACGGTTCATTGATATTTTCCATGTCCTCTGGCACCACTGGAGTCCACACTGTTTCACTTTCCATTTGTTTTGAACTCCCTAATCCCCACCTCCCCCATCTAATAATCTATGGCTCAGATTAATTTTCCTGTTACAACATCTCAGAAATGTTCATGGTTCTCATAGTCCACAAATGAAATGTAGTGCCTTCAATAATGTGCCCCAATCTGCCTTTTCAACTTTAATTTTCCACTTCTGTGGACACAGATCTTCCATTAATTTTGAGTGAGTTTAGAAGGAGTTTGAGTTATGCTCCGTGGAGATCGTGAGACTTCATAACTATCCCTTTACTCATACCAGAAAACTACCATATGCATTTCTCCCTGTGCATCTGAATTCTTTCACCTTCCAAGCCCCAGCCTACATTAATTCCCCCTTCTCTAAAGGTCTAAAGCAACTATTAACAAGTATTCATCTTGTTACTTATTTAAACTCAGTAAGTTCTGTTACAAATTTGTTTTGTAAGCTTTTTTCAAGGAGCATTTCTACATTCCTGGCACTATGGGTTTCTTCTTCTTCTTCTTCTTCTTCTTCTTCTTTTTTTTTTTTTTTTGGTGCTTAAAATATTGTCTCATTTAATTCATATAGTAACTTTGTACAAGTTAGAAAACTGAGGATCAGGGCTATAGCAATTTGCCCAAGTTTTAACAGTTAATAAATTGTCCAATAGTGAGTTTAAAATGAAAGGTATTACAGGATGGCTGATAAAAATATATTATTGAATAAATACGGAAACTCAAAATACCTTATTTTTTTAAAAGATTTTATTTATTTATTTGACAGACAGAGATCACAAGTAGGCAGAGAGGCAGGCAGAGAGGAGGAAGCAGGCTCCCTGCTGAGCAGAGGGGCTAGATTCCAGGACCCTGGGATTATGACCTGAGCCGAAGGCAGAGGCTTTAACCCACTGAGACACCCAGGTTCCCCCAAAATACCTTATTTTTATGTTTTAATATTTTTGAGAAGAGTAAGTGGAATGTTATATTATTTTTATTAGAGTTATATTAGATTCATAAAATGAACTGGGTAGATTTGGACCTTTTTGTATTAGAACATCTGGTTTGGGAACCTTTTTTATCCTTTAATCTTTCAGTTTCCTTCATGGTTATTGGTCCATCTACATTGTCTGCCTCTTCTGGGGACAATTTGAGAAATTTGTATTTTCCCTTAGACATTTCAAGTTGGCTGAATTCTACATCCTACTCTACCTGAGGTTAATATGATTATGTGTGTTTAAAAAAAAAAAAGTGATTGCTCGATGAATCTCTTTATCCTTAAACTCTCTGTGATTTTAATAGATGTGTTTCTTTTAAGCTGTATGTTGTTGAATATTTTTAAGATAATCTGAGGGTACTTGTTTATATAGATTATTCATTTAAGTGATTTTATATACTTTATGTTTTTTTCATGAGGGGTGGGCATTTTTGTGGGAAGGAAGGAGTGGCTGCTACTGGGAAGTTGACCAGATGTCATTTTCAGTGCCATTTTCCTGTATAGTTCTGTATTGAACGTTCTGATTTTGGTTTCCTGCCCTTCCGTTTATGTTCCATTTCTTATGTTACACTTTTTGGTCAATTTGTTTGCTTCCTGGAATTTCCAGTTGCCTCTTGGATCACTGATTGTATTAACAGAATAAAGCATATTCTTATATCCTTGGTTTCGCCCTTGAAAGTACTAATATGGTCACTTTTTCTATTTAAAAAATAATTTTTATAAGAATGTTCATTGCATTATTATTTCTACTGGTGAAAATTAGAAACAATCTCAACATCAAATAATGAATTATAGAACACTCATGCAGTGAAGTGTCCCCACATTGACATATTCATTCATTTGAATATTGAATAATATTGAAAATACTCATGATATAGTGTTTAAGGTGTAAGAAGCAGAATGTATATGATTTAGGCATATAGTAAATACATGATTAAGTATATAGCAAGTTCCATTTTAAATCTGTTACATAGTGGACTCATACGTGGAAGATTCCTGTGGTGTGACCTTAAGCTAGTAACTTAGCCACTCTAATAGTAATCTTCTGAAAAATGCTGAAGCACCTAAAACAAATACATGCTTAATTTTTAAAAAAGTTCCTATATCTTGTCTAGATGACCATATTAAAATTATACAGGTCAGTATTACTTAATATTTTGCTAACCTGAATTCTTTTTCATTAAATTATATTTCTATGTAGTTCTATTACTAGACAGTAATATGAGTTCTAGGTTCATTAGTTAACTTTAAAAAAACTGAGAGACCATTGCATAAATATGTGTTTTCTTACTAAGAAGAGGAATAGATTTGTATATGTGAGGGAAAACATGGCTGAATAGAATCATGGCACATTTTCATCTTTCTACAACTTCCAACAGCAGTCACTTATTTTACCTAGTTATTTTGCACAGTTATTTGAGTTGTATATTAGCTACATTCTTATTAATGACAATATCTTAAACCAATATGCCTGATACTTATCTATGATGAACTGATAATTAAAATAAAACATTATAATTTGAGGGGCACCTGGGTGGCTCAGTGGGTTAAGCCATTGCCTTTGGGTCAGGTCATGATCTCAGGGTCCTGGGATCGAGCCCCACATCAGGCTCTCTGCTCAGAGGGGAACCTTCTTCCCCCTCTCTCTCTGCCTGCCTCTCTGCCTACTTGTGATCTCTCTCTCTCTCTCTCTCTCTGTCAAATAAATAAAATCTTTTAAAAAAACATAATTTGATATAATACAAGATATTCTTGAATATCGTATCCTATTTAAAGTGAATATGCCTCGTGATTTAGCAAGTCATTTCTCTTACCTAGAGATTTCTAATTCAGTCTGTTATATAAAACTCACTTGTTTTCTCTTTGTCTCTCTTAGTAAAGCCATTGGTAATTTTAACCCCAAAAATGCAGTGAAACAAAATAACCAGCAGATGGCAATAATGACTTATAAATCAGAATTTTAAAAATTTCGGTAGTTTTAAAATTCATTTTTAAAAAAAGAAAAAAATCACTGTTCTTGTAATAAATCAGTTTACTAAATATGACATGTAGGGAAACTCCAAATTTAATCCTACATAAAAATAATTCTGTTGCATATTTTATATATCAAATGATTAAGATACTCATGACCAACATTTGGTTTTTGAAATAATAATGACTGCTTAAATTTATTCAATTAATTTTTTATCAAGTTTAAATGTTTGAACTTTACATAAATATAAATTGAAGTGGATAGCTAAGTTATATCTATATCTAGCTTGATTATATGAATCAGGAAAGAGAGGTAATTCAGTGAACATCATTTTGAAAAGGTTAAATTTTCCACTATAATAACTTACCAAACCAATTTCGCTTTAATTAATACTCTTCTGCATAAAAGATGGGTTTTTATCTGTGTTGTTTCACACTTTCTTATACATTAAGGTACTTTTTTCCTCTTCAGCGGTACAAGGAGTTGGAATTGGCATCAAAGTGTGTACCTCTAGCCTGTCACCATTAGATACTTCCAAAAATGGTAGCAGAGTTTTTAGGATCTCATAATTATGTCAACTGTAATTGAACTGCATATCCAAGATTCTTTTAGAGCCATTTTATTTAGTCATTTCTTCCTTTCAGTTAAGAAGTTTTAGAAGGGTGAACCAAATGAAACTCTTCTATTTTTGTAGGACTTCCTATAAAATTGCAAAGACAAAGAAACTTTTTAATTTAATCATGTATCTCTTTTTTTTTTTGTCTCAAAAAAATAAGATATCTATAGGTATGTGCTTCTTGGTGACTGTGGGTTTTCTAATTGGTCTGTTTCTATATGTTAAAAGATCTTTCAAATTCTT